GGAATAACGAGCCGTCCAATCAGAGCTCTGGGATATAACATCGAACTTATACCCCAAAACTCTGATTGGACGGCTCGTTATTCCCTGTTGCCTGTGCCTATTTCCTGTGTCTATTGTGTTTCCAGCTTTACGGTTGAAATCGCTCATACACTACCGCCAGTACATTCATTTTCAATTTGAGAACTACGTGACTATAATATATACACTTTCCAACACTATCGATAAAATCGTATCGCCGAAAATAGATGTGGTTCGTCTCTATACTAAATCTTCAGGGCAAAAGCGTGCCGACTATCCATTTCGCATCTCGTACATATGTAAATAAAAGTTGTTGAATTTTAATAAACGAAATTGAAAATTCAAACAAGTTAATTTAATGAATTTTATTTTACAATATCTTATAAAATTACGAAGTTATGTTCCTTTATGCAAATTTTCAGCCCGTTTTTACCAAACATAATTACTAGTATGCATTAACGTCTCTATAATTACTAGCAATTATATAGAGGCTTTTAATAAATTCAATCTCTTCTAAACATATATTGTCAATTTAAGGTATAATTTAGCAAAAACGAGATATAGAGGCCCTCCACCACCCCCGTCAATTTTATCAGCAGTCCTCTTTTCCTTGTAAGTATACTCACCCATAAAACAAATGCTACTAATAAATTTAGTAGCCCATTTTTGCAGGTAAGTATATTTTTAATTAATTTTTTTATTTTTATGTCTAATTATTTTATTGTATTTCGCTAATAAAATTGCATAACTTTTTAAATATTATTCTTTGTAATATTCCTTTATACAATTCGACATTACAATTATAATAATTATTTACAATACAATTATCAATGTTGTTCAAAATATAATAAAAATGATAATATAGGAGCATAATTAAAAAATTTTAGTAATGCGAGATTATACGAAAACGTCGAAAATATGTACGATAATACAAATTATTCTATACCAACGTTTAATAAAATATTAATAAATGCAGAAGAAATGCTAACAACAATTAGATTGTATTTACTATTAATCATTAATTTGCGAATATAAAACTTAATAATATCGCGATAAAAAGTCATTAATATATTTATAACAGCGCTCTATTTCATGGCATTCAAGATAATTAACTTAATAATTTCATCATATCAAAGTCCCTCAGCCTTGCAGTTATCATATGTTTCGTCGATTTCGTGTAATTTACATCAATAAGGTAACAAAAAATTTGATTTACTACGACAAGATAAATGCTATTTGTATTGAATAGATATTCAATACTGATATACGTATACATTCCAATAAATATATAATTTATTAGTAATTAATTGTGCAAATTACAAAAGTAAATGTGATAACATTTATCTGAACATAGTTATATAACTATTATATCACGTACCTAATATTATCATACATACATTTATTTACAATAAAATTAATTACGATATTAAAGCGTTACATAATTTGTCATGTATAGAATTTTACAGAAAAGTTCGATTTCAGGGGAGCTGAAAAGACAATGAAATTTAAAATTAATTTGGTGTATTTTCATATTTGAGATAATTGGAATGAGATACTGATAAAATTAAACAAAATTTAAAATTAATTAAAAATTTTATTTAATTTTTAATCCCTTCTTTCAAATTATCAAGTATGTACAGATGATGTTTGCATATTCCTACTTACATATAATAGTTTACTGTTTAGATTTATTATGTGATATCTTTTACTTTTTATTTTTAAAATAAAATTTAATTACCCGATCGCGAAATTTATTTAAGTGTCGTTTAATTTGTAATAACTTAATTTTTTAATTTAGATGATTGTGGTTATCCCTACCTATCCATACTTATTGTCCCTACCTATACAGTCTCTATCTATCCATACTTGTCCTACCTACTAGTATTTTCATTTATTCGTGTCATATTCACACCTTTCTTCACCCGTGTATTCTTACCTACATTACCTACTTCATAAGTATTCAATAACACCGCGAATACATGTAATACGTCAATGGTTGCATTCATCAGTGAAAGTAGCTTTTCAATTGTTGTAAAAAATTTTTTAATACAATTGATTCCTTATGGATTTAAATGTATAAACCAATCATATTCAAGAATTTTACAACAATTGCAAAAAAAGCTGCTTTCTCTGCTGAATGCAGCTAACGCCATCTCCTATCGTATGCTGATAAATTCAGCGGGATGACCTAATCGCTATCATAATGATAATAAATAAATAATAAACACTAATTATTAAAACAGGTTTTCAATTTTTAAAATACAAACAAAATTAACAAATAACAGAGCTAATGAGAGTCAACACGATAATCAAACGCAAGTTTTGTATATTAAAAAAATCTACAAAACTTGCGCTTGATTATCCGCATTGACTCTCATTATTTCTGTTGTTTATTGGTTATTTTTGTATTTTAAATAAGCAACATTTCAAAAAAATATATGAATTCGCAATTTGCGAGCAAATTACCCTCCCGAATATTGAGTTTATCTTTATAAAAAAATTTGTTCAACTAACTGCACACATTTCAACAAATTTTATTTGTCTAAATTTAACCATAGTTTACTTAACATTGAACAGTTCCTTAAGCAGATTACGGTTAAATTCGATTAAATAAAATTTGATGAAATAATCAAATCTGCAAACAACTAAATGTATTTAGCAGGGATGGGAAGTAACTCGTTACTTGTAACGAAGTTACAGTTAGAGTTACTTTTTTTCAGTAACTGTAACTTAACTTCGTTACTTTCTTTCCATCTGTAATTATAACTTAACTTAACTTAGTTACATCTTTTAAGTAACTAGTAACTAATTTAATAGTTACTTTCATAGTTATTTTATATATTTTAAACTTATTTGTCCACAGTAGTGTCCACTTGGCGCTACAAATCTTCGAAACATTTGATTAATCAGATGAAAGAAATTTAATTAAAGCGTTCAATGATCTCTTGTACCTGTTTGGTCAATATTTTGGGGTCTAATGGAATCCGCCAATCAAATACAAGAGTGCTCAATGAACGGTTGTAGACCATTTTGGATTAGTGCTGGAATTTATTTGCAACTTTTAGCCGAACATAAAAAGAATTTTTTTTTACAAAAAACATTGTATATGTGTGCTATTTCATATTCATATTCATATTCATATGTGTTTATATTACTTTAACGAAAAACGTCTTTGCC